TATAGCACTTTTTTTTTTTTTTTTGGAGGTGTGTATTATAGAAGGACCATTTGCTACGAAAAAGTTTTGTATACCAACAGGGTACCAAGTGGCACTACTCATCTACCAATCACAAGCATCCAACAATATGCCCTTCATTTTACTACCTTTCACCAATCATAATAGTAAAATGTACCATATGAATATACCTATTCATGTACAAAAATCACACGTTTACTACATACCTAGAATCTTGACTAAAAATTTTAATCAAAAAAATGATGGTATATTCAGGTCTCACATGTTGGCCCATAAACTTCACACCCAGAATGGATAAGATAGAATTAAAATTATTAACTCGAGTGACTCATATTTTAATTTTTTGTTACAATTTTTATTATTCAGATTAAATTTCAATAGGACATCTATCTAATAAATTGGCAAATTTTTTAATTCTACAACTAATAATACAAAACAAACATATAATTCAGTTTATATTTTTCTATATCCATTCCAAAAGAAACGTGGACAAGAGGAGATTATTTATTTCACTCATCCAGCTGGATAACATCTTACACTAATTTCATAAATTGTTAATCCCCTCACTATTAATTCTACTATACAAATATAGCATTAAGACACTCGTTAATAACAATAATAAATAAATAAATAATGATAAAAGGTGAATTTTGAAGGAAAATAGGCAAGTGGGGTACAGAAGTAGGATAATATTCATCTACAAACTGTTTATTTTCCAAGTTAATTTCAAGGGATTGGCATAATGGTCAAGCTTGAGGTTTGGAGGTGTATTACCTCCAACGTCTCGGATTCAAAACTTCTTAAGTGTAAACAATTTATTGAGACTAGTCCATATAAAATTTATCTTGACTTTAATTAAATCCCATAAATAAGCAATCGGATTGATTTCCAAATTAATCGGTCCAAGTGTAAACAATTTATTGAGACTAGTCCATATAAAATTTATCTTGACTTTAATTAAATCCCATAAATAAGCAATCGGATTGATTTCCAAATTAATTGGTCCAATAAACCAGATAGCTGGTTATCGAAAACAAGTTAACAATGAGGCCAGTGATTCGAACAAAAAGATTATACCAATTATGCTCCAAAGAGGTCAGTGGTCACGACTGTGTTTCGCTTTGCTTTGAATAATCCATTATACAATCATAGCTCACCTCACTTTTTGTTCTCTCATACAGATGTTCTTGTGAAATTGGAAAAGAATGCAGATCATCAAAGTACAGGAGACATTGAGAATCCTGCTAGCTACTTCACTTCAGGTGGAGGTTGTGGTAAAAGTTTGAACCTTTAGGTTAGGTTTGAATTATAAATTTAAATAAGAGTATAAAAAAAATTTTAAAAAATAGACAAAAATATAAATGAAATATAATTATATTTCACCTACATTTTACACTCATTTTTTTCTTATTTTTTCAAAATCTATAATTCAAATTCAGTACTAATTCCACTCCAGCATTTAATTCCATATTTTTTTTTATCGGCAAAGAAGATCTTTATTGATGAAAACATGCAAAACAGACATAGAACATCAATAAAGAGGAGCTTGGAACTAAATGAAGCTCCAAGCTCCAGTTTGTGAGAAGCCAACAAAGAAAACAAGAGGAAAAGCATAACAGATCAGCAACCAAGAAATGAAGGAATAGGCAGCCACAGAATTCAGGCCATGACTGGAAACCCACACCACTCAGCACACCAGCAAACAACTCAAGCTAACTCTAGCACCAGCAGACCAGCAGTAAAGGGTTTAGTGAAATCAAGAAGCTAATTCAAGCACCAAACAACCCAGCAGCATAGTCAACCCAAACAACCCAGTAGAAGCTAACTCAAATTCTTTCTTAGTCCTCTCTTTTCCTCCAAGTAACCTCACATTATCAAGCTGGGCTGCATACTTAGCACCAAAACTAGAATCTGGAGTCTCTGACAACACAATGTCTATAATGATCACCTTCCCATTCTTTGGCAATGCTTCATAGCAATTCTTCAAAATTGTCAAGCACTGTTCATCACTCCAATTATGGAGTATATTCTAATTATTCAATTAGACCAGAGCTGAATCTGCAAACTCTGAATCAACCTCCTCTGAACCAGCCACCTCTGCAAATTTTGAGTGCATACCAAGAATGCAGATGGACACTCCTCTGTCTGACAACTGGATCAAAACAGAATTGAAACTTAATAATACACCAGAATTCAGGACTGCCCAACTGAGAGCATAACAAAGTATAGACCCAGCCAACTCTGTCAACTGAATCAAACAGAATTGAGACTTGAAAATACAATCCAGACCAAAGACCTAGCCATAGCCAACTGGACCATTTGATCACCAGCTCAAAACAGACTTCAGAATTCATTAATATAATGTAGACCTTGAATCAGGACCAGCATAGAAACATAGCAGACCAAGGTTCAGGACAAACTAGCAGAAGCCAACACAAACCAGCTGAGGACATCAATTCAGGACATACCAGCCACAAAAACCAGATCATCATTCCATCCCCATGGACCGGCAATTTAGCACTGAATTACACACAGAGACACACTTGATTCAGGTTCTAGATAACATCATGCACCGAATAGTTAAACCCCTTCAAAGATGAAGAAACCCACAACGCAACTCAAACCTTTATCAGGTCTTCCAATGCATTCCAATCCGGTTGTACCTTATTAAATAAACAATCATTTCTGCTTTTCCACACAGACCACATAACTGTTAGTGGTATTATCTTCCATATTGCTTGCAACTTCTTCTTCATTTTTATACCTGACCACGACAGAAGTAATCCCTCCACTGATCCAGGGATAACCCACTTATAATTCCACCAGTTCACTAGCTTGGCCCAGAATTTCCAAATAATAGGACAGTGTAGACAAACATGATTTACAGACTCCACCCTAGATCTGCAGAACACACAAAGAGCAGAGGCATTTGGGCTCAACACTCCAATTCTTTGCAAAAATTCAAAACATTTAATCCTTCCTCTCCACGCTAGCCAACTCAAGAATTGAACTTTGGAAGGGGCTAAATTGTTCCAAATGCACCTAGTGACTGTACAGTCTACCCCTTGACTTGCTTCTATCCACTTCCAAATTGATGCCACAGTGAACTCTTCAGACGGGTGGGTTAGCCAAGCACAAGAATCAACCACCCCTTCATTGAGCCTAGGCGCACCCTGCAGTAGATCATTAAGTCTTTGCACTTCCTCCTCTTCCCATGCTAGAAGGGGTTTTCTGAAAATCAGATTCCAGCCTGAATCTGCCACTCTTCGGTGAAAAAAATCAAACAACTTTCCATCTTTATCAATTGATAATGTGAATAATCTGGGAAAAGACACACTCAGGTTTTGGTTGTGGCACCACCTATCAGTCCAAAAATGCATCCTCCTACCATTTCCAACAACTAACCTGAAATTTTGCAAGAAGAAATCACGCAGAGCAGTGTTAACTACAGCCACTGATATTATATCTTTCCACGTATGCGACAGCCATACTGGACTAGACAAAAATGGGCACCATCCACCACCTAGACCTCCATACTTACTACATATCACTTGTTTCCACAAAGCTGCCTCCCCCTTGCCATACCTCCACCACCATTTAACTAGTAGGCATTCATTAACCTGACTTAGATTTCTCACACCTAGCCCACCTTTAGTTTTACTTAGGCATATCTCCTTCCAGTTAATTAGGTGCACTTTCTTCCTGATTTCAGACCCTCCCCAAAGAAAATTGGCTTGAATTCTGTGTAATGCTTTTGCAATGCCCACTGGCAGCTTGAAGATTGATAGAAAATATACTGGCAAACTTGATAGGACGGACTTGATCAATGTTACTCTGCCCGCAAAGGATAAATACCTTCTCTTCCAAGAAGCTAGCTTGCTCTTAAACTTGTCTACCACAGGTTTCCAAGAAGCCTTTCTCCTTGGATTTGCACCTAATGGTAACCCCAGATAACTCATTGGCAACTTTTGACTGAAACAATTTAGTTTGGTTGCAAAGACCTGGACAATATCCTCCTGCACACCTACCCCACATACCTTGCTTTTATGGAAATTTATTTTGAGTCCATACATCAACTCAAAGCACCTTAAAATTCTTTTCACGGCTACAACTTCCTCCCACTCCGCTTCACAAAAAATAATGGTATCATCGGCAAACTGTAAGTGTGTAATTTTCAACTCAGTCGGTCCTGCGGATACTCCTCTAATCAGTCCCACTTCTTTAGCTCTTTCCAATAGAATGTTCAGACCCTCCACTACAATATTAAAGAGAAAATGAGAGAGCGGATCTCCTTGCCTAAAGCCATTTCATGGGAGAAAACTCAGAAGTTGGTGAGCCATTTACAAGCACTGAAATTCGAGCTGTGGATATGCAAGTCTTCATCCACCCCACCCATTTCTCTCCAAAACCGAAGTTTTTCATCATTGAGTACAAGAACTCCCAATTTACGGAATCATACGCCTTTTCAAAATCTAGCTTTAGGATGAGACCTTTCTTCTTTGACCTTTTCCACCAGTCCACCACTTCGTTGGCAATTAGAACCCCATCTATAATGTGCCTTCCACTCAAAAATGCAGTTTGAACTTCACTAATGATCTTAGGCAACACTTTCCTCAGCCTTCTTGATAAGACTTTAGCTATGATTTTGTATACGGAGGTAATCAAGCTGATTGGCCTGTAATCCCCCAACCCCACATGATTTTCCTTCTTGGGAATTAAGGTAATGAATGAACTATTTATTCCTTGGGCTAACTTTCCATTAGAATGAAACTCATTCATCAACTGCACAAACTCACCTTTCATGATGGCCCAGCACTTTTGATACATTTCAGATTAAAACCATCCGGCCCCGGGGCTTTATTTCCCTCGCAATCTTTAATTGCTTCCCAGATTTCATCCTCTAGAAATTTTGCCTCTAACACCTCAGATGAGTTAGTTGGACTAATTGAGTCAAAAAAACCTGACAACTTTGGTCTACTCTTTCAATCTTCAGTGAAAAGGAAATTGAAATGACTTGCCACTACCTGTTTAATCATCCCAGGCTCATCATGAATCACATCATTCACGGTAACTGAGTTTAACAAGTTTATCCTCTGCCTTTTGGTTGCCATTAAGTGAAAAAATCTGGTATTTTTATCCCCATTTTCAGCCCATACCCTTCTAGATTTTTGGAGCCACAACCATTCCTTCTTCTTACTCAGATCCCAAACTAATTTTCTTATTTCTACCCTTCTTTTGATCTCAGCATCCTGTAGATTCCTACCTTTAGCTATTAAATCCCATTCATGCAGTTCATCCTCTGCTTTTTTCAACTTCTCATCAATGTTACCAAAGACTTCACAGTTCCACCTCTTCAGATGGGTTTTCAGGTTTCCTAACTTTTTCAAAAGTCTGAAGCTAGCCCAACCACTAACCTGGAATCCTTCCCAACAGTTCTTCACTTCTGTTTTAAATTTGGGATGCAAACCCCATGCATTAATAAACCGGAATGGTTTTGGACCCCAATCCCTCTCATCCTCCATAAGGAGTATTGGACAGTGATCAGAGATGCTCCTAGGCAGTCCCCACTGCTTAAACTTGAACTCTTCCAGCCACCTAGGCTCGATTAAAAATCTATCGATTCTACTCCATCTATTTCCATCCATCGCATTACACCACGTGAACTGTGTGCCCAGCATTGGCATATCTACCAACTCCAATTTTTCAATCAATTCATTAAAGTCCTTCATCCCTCTTTCCCTTCGAGAACACCCTTTCCTTTCGCTCATAAATCGGATTTCATTGAAGTCACCACCTATACACCAAGGGCTTAGGAATGATGATTTCAGTGTTGATAGGGACTCCCACAGTAATCTTCTTTTGAGCACTTCATTAGGTGCATAAACATTGATAAGAGTACAATTGAAAGAATGATGGACCATACCTGATAAAAGCATGAAGTTCCTGGAGCAGCAACACTCCTTTAGCTCGAAAGTCTGTGGATTCCACAAGCATAGCTCCATATACTCCAACTCTTCCCACAGCCATAATGACTTAACAAAATTAACATCTACTAAGCTTCTCTTTGTCTCCTGCAGCAGAAGAATATCTACCTTCCTCGCCCGAACTACACTTTTTATTTTTGTTCTCTTCTCGGGTCTTCGCAGACCCCTAATATTCCATGATAATACAATCATAAAATCTGCACAACTCCAAAATCCTCCTGCCATAAGTCCTGACCTGACTTACAGACCAACACCTTCTCCTTCTATCCTCTCCAAGTCTTTTTGTTCGAGTTCAGTCAGCTTGCCAATCACCTCTTTCTCCTTACCTTCAAAGTCCAATCCCAGAATTTTCCCAACTTCCATGGTAGCTTGGGCTTCATTTAATAACTTGTTTCTCCTCCTGGTGTTAAGGCTTTGCTCTATTGACATTGAAATAGCAGCAGCTGCTGCTCTGAAGATAGCTCCTTGCCTGAAACAGTTCCTCTGCAGTGCACCTTTTTGGTTGATCTGATTTTTGTTCAGTTTTTCCCTATTTTGCAGATTACCTCCATCCTTATTACATCTATTTACCACTGATTTAGTACGCTTTCCCCTTCTTGCTGGGTTGTCTTGTTCTGCTACTCTTAACTTGGCTTCTTGATGAGCAAGGGGCCTAAGTTGAGTTTGGGCTGCACAGTCACTTAAATTTGAAAGATCAGTGATGGGCCTAATCTCCTAAATCCCATCCTGAGGCCCTTCCAGCACCACCTCTAAATTTAAGTTGGGCCTTGAACTCTCTGGCCCACTCAGGCTTCTAATAAACCCAGGAGTATATACATGGCCTTCGACAATTTGAATTTCTTTTCTTGGGGTTGCCGTATTCTCCATACTAACCTCCATACTAGCTCCTCTGACTTTGTGATTTCCCATGTCATCCTCAGTTCCTTTTATGGCTGATGGGGATAGGCACTCATTACCTTCACCTTTTTTCCCTGCCTCTCGGTCCACCATAACCTGGTCATCATCTGGTACCTCATCTTTTCTGCTCAGCTCCTCCTTCCTTGTGTGATCAGCTTCAAGTTCCTCCTTATCTGTCCCATCATTTTTTGACATTTGATCTACTTCATCTTGAGCCGTATAACAACTGACCTCATTATCCCTGCATGAACTGTTGCAATGGCATGGCTTTAGTGCTGCTGGGATCTCTTCACAAACTCTAACTGGGAACAGGCTATCATTGCCTTCAACATGAATCTACGAATTAATGAACTCCATCCTGGAAGTAATTACTCGTACCTTTCCTCACTGAAGAGTATTTTGTCTAGTAGTGTCATCATCCCCAAAGCTTGCCAATATTTCTGAATGTATTAACACTCCACAAATAAAATGGTACACCTACATAGACGAGCCATACGCACCTTTCTTGTTCAACATACTTGCCTTTCTCCCAATCTGTAATAGACTCACACCATTCTAGCATCCACTCTTCTAACTTGGATCTAGCCTCCCATTCTATGTTGCTGGGACTTGAAAGTTAACACTGCTACCCTTCCTCCTCATTCTCTGACTCTTACTTCCTCCATACCTCTTTTACCGACCTCTTTTTTGAACTCAGCAAAGGATAGGAATGATTTCAACTTCAATATTATACTATCATAGAGCCAGCCATTGCCGGCTTCAACTGCCTTTACAACCATCTTCAACTTCTCATTGCTGCCACCACTCTGAACTACTTCTGCAAAAGATCTTCGACCTACACTATCCCACCTTCTTTGCCCAAAACTCCTCTATAAGCGCTGCATCATCGGACCATCACCTCCGTTTTTCATTGCCTGCTGCTTAAACTGCCCTTTTTTGAAGTCTGCTTTCTTTACTTTTAGAGCCTTATTATCGCACCATAATCCATCAGCCTTCAGCACCGCCATTTCACCAGCCACCTTGCATTCATATCCCACAAAACCAAACCTCGACCCCATCGCTTTTCGTCTTTTCGACGGGATGAAGGCATCCTAAACTACGCCAAACTTATTGAACAGAGTAAACAAACACTTTGGGGTCATTGAGTTTGGGATCTCATCCACAAAGATAGTAAACACTCCATAATCCACTGATCGACTGTTTTGGTTAGCCACACGCCTTCTTCTAAGCACCGGATTCCATCCTCCGGCCTCCAGAAAATGTGGTTTGCTGCTGGGTTTCCTGTTGAGACTATTTAACGATGTTGCTTTAATGCCACTTTGTGAGTTCCATTATGAAAGAGAGAGGAAAGGTTTGTAGCTAAAATTTCCCATTTAATTCCATATTAATTAATACTTAATGACACTATGCTATAATGATTGTCATAATCAACTTTAATTTAGTTAGACTATGTTTGACCGGAGGATTTGATGGACAAAATAAAAAGAGAAATAGAAAGAAAAGGAAAAAGAATTGGCCATTTTTGGATAAATCTCTTTTTCTAAGTGTTTTATTCCATTTAACCCTATATTCTTTTTCAGTATTCCATTAAGTCATGTTTAATGTAATATGACCAAATCATTCTTTCTAATTTTTTTGTACACGTTTCTATTTTGAAACTAATACATATCAATAGTTCCTTATTTTATGGAGAAAAATTTCACCCTCATTCTAAAAAGAAAATCTTTCCCTTATTCCAATAAGAAAATCTCTTTCTTATTCTAAGGAGAAAATCTCTCCCGCATTCCATGCAGAAAATCTCAAATTATGAACTTTGAACCTTTTTATAATTTGAAAATTTTAAAAATAACGCAACAAAAAATGCGAATGAAAATAAAATACAATGTGAATGTTCATAGTAAACAACAAAATATACAATTAACTTTTGAAAAAACAAAACATATACTAAAATATCATGTAAATGTTCACAATAAACAATAAACATACAACTAACCTTCGAAAAAATAAAATTCATACCAAAATATAATGTGAATGTTCATAATTTATAATTAACATACAACTAGCCTTAAAAAAAAATAACTCATACCGATGTAAACATTTACATTGGAACGTGAAAACATAAGATAAAACAGAAAAAAGTGAAAATTGACTATTTCAATTGTTCAATGGTAATAAAAATTATTGTTCAACTAACAAGCATAGTAACAAAAACAACAAACACACAATTAACTTTCGAAAAAACAAAACTTATACCAAAATACAATGTGAATGTTCACAACTTACAATTAATATACAATTAGTTTTAAATAAAATAATAAACTCATACCAATGTGAACATTCACACTACAATGTGAAAACATAAAATAAAATTGAAAAAAAAGTAAAAATCGACTATTTCGATGGTTCAATGGTAATAAAAATTATTGTTCACCCAACAAGCATAGTAAAAAAAATAACAAAATACAACTAATTTTCGAAAAAACTTCAAAAAGAAACTCATACCAAAACACATGGTGAATGTTCATAATTTACAATTAACATACAACTAACCTTAGAAAAATTAAATTCATACCAATGTGAACATTCACACTACAATATGAAACAAAATTGAAAGAAAAAAATGATTATTTTAATTGTTTAATGGTAACAAAAAATGATTGTTCAAACAACAAGTATATTAACAAATAATCAATGATATGTGAGCATTTACATCTTGCAAAATATATAATTATGTCAATATCTATATTCCAACACTTATTTCTCAGACTTTCAAATAATGTGAAATGTGAACATTCACACTAATTATCAAAAAAATAGAAACAATGGTAGCAATAGAATTCGAAATCAAAAAAAAAAAAAAAAAAAAAACTCAATCACTCTAAAAAAAAATAATATCACCCACATTCTCATCTTTATCACCATCTTTATTATTATGACTATCATTAACAATCTATGCAATTTCACCATTCCACCAATCCAAATCAAACCAAACCCACATTTGAATATGTTTATAACAAAATTGATTGGACATGAACAGAGTTTCGACTTACAACAATAGAGAAACATAGAGTTTCGAACACAAAGTAACAATGGACAATACAGAACTTTGAACATAACGTGACAATGGAGGAATAAAAAGTTTCGCCGCAACAATAAAAGAGCATAATATTGTTTCAACACCATGTGTAAACTAGAGTTTCTAAACCCTACCAAATAGAGAGTTTCAAACCTCAGCACAATGAAACAATATCACAAATGTGAATGAAACTGATCAAAAAGAAAAACGTGAATAATGGTAACTACCAAAATAGAGGTAGCAACAAAAAGGAAATATGTATATCCTTTTTCTATGTAATACATATCAATAATAGACATAAGGGTATAGTAGTCCAACAAATAATATAAATTAAGAAAAAATACCTCATGAAATAAAAGTATAAAGACATGGGACTAAGTAGGTTATAATTTTCTTTGGTGGACTTATTGGGTTAGAACATCTCCAAATGGGATTTATCAATAAAAAATTCGAAACAGAATTGATAAGATTCAAATTCCAAATTGCGAAATAGCAAGGTTTTGAAAACCGGACCTGTAACGCCTCCAAAATAATACAATAAATATAACTCATATACGGAATAAATATGAGAAACAACATACTTTCATAAATCAGAGTTCACTATTAAACAACCAGTTAAATGCCATGTAGGCTTACATCTTTCCAAGTCATTACTTGGTTACACAAATTGAGTCTCGCTCATTACATCTTAAGCTCTTGGCTTTACAAATAACAAACATACACACATAAGGCATAAATAAGAAGCTCTCGCTTCCCGAAAGTCCATCCACGCTATTGCCTTGGAGGAAATATCTCATCTGCACTTGAAAATGATATTCCCGTATAGGGTGAGCCAACAGCCCAGTAGAGATAATCTAGCACAATGTATGAGGTTTAGCAAAGGTATAAGTACCGCGTATATAAACAATACCGATATGGAAGCATCCACAAAGCTTGTATATCCATGTGCCACTAAGACCAATTTCATTTCCATTTTCCTTCAACTTATTTCAAGTTCATATATGCTACTCAATTCATGAGTTAAATTCATTATATTTTAACAACCAAAATGAGACTACAGCTCAATGGTTTCCAATTATGCAAAACACACATAAACACTTCAAATCTGCCATTTTACGGATATTTCGTCCGAAGGAATCGACACCCATTTATATGTGAAATTTCGGGTCTTTCACCCAAGACATACTGGCCAACTTGCTTTAAAATGGAGTCCATCCCCTTTCTCCTCCCAAACAAGTATACATACGCAATG